TACATGCGCGGTAGAGTAGTAGTTAGTCAGCCACCTGGTATATGTTCTTGAAACGTCAAGGATCGAGTGCTATGAACGCGATCCAAGCCCCAGTACCCAGTGTTTGGGGTGCAGACTGTATACCAAGGCAGCTTGGCTACTTTAGCAACCAAAAAATTCTTTCGCCGTTACTATATTAGCAAATGTTTTGCTGAACGAGCGAACACCCTGTTTTGACTGTGGCTGATGATGCCGTGCAATTCTGTGCGTTCCGCGGCACAGCCGCAGCCGGCAGCCCGGTCCGCGACCCGGCCGTGTGACGGGGGCGGCAAGCGGTCTGCGCCGAGCGCGAACCAATAACAGCTCAAATATTCGGGACGCATGACTATAACGGCGTGAAATATTAAAAAGAATGACCGGCCGCGCCGCCTGGCCACCGCTTTACCACCTGCCGTCCGCAAAATCCCCCCCCCTCCCCTTTCCCCTCTCCCCTTCTTCCCACGCTCCCTTTCCCTCCCCCACCCCCTCGAGGCCCCATTCTTTCTCCCGTTTAACCACGCCATTGCGGCCAAAGATACATTATGTATCGAATAAATTGACTTATGGCGTGTGCCCCCCGTGGCACCGCCCCAGCACCCCCGCCCTCTTCCCCCTTTCCTTCTCTCTCCCCTCTGTCGCCGCAGAGAATCGGCTGTTCGCTCGTCAAATATGGGTCGCCACGCCCCGCCACACCACGCTACGCCGCGCCCCGCTACGCCCCGCTACGTCCCGCTACGCCACGCCATGCTACACCGCACCCCGCCACGCCGCGACAGAAAGGAAGCCAACGTATTTGTCTCCTTCGGGCCAGGCCTCGGATGGCACGACGCGCCACGGACGGCCCGGGGCATATGGGGCTTGAGCAAAACACATGAAGTACTGCTAAAGGATGTTGTTTGCGGAGAGTGATGGGGTGAAGTAACGAAAAGAAATCTTGGATAAAACAGAACATAAATAGGTGACGGCAAATACTTCACTGTCACCTCTGCCAGCAAATGCATATTTCCGTACTACTAAGTGTAAAAATATTGAGGGCTAGACTACTTGGGTTTGGGTATATCATGAACATATTGAAAAGTATTTTAAATATATTCCAGATATTCCAAAATTGTCTCAATTATTCCCTAAAATAAAATCAGGTATTCCACCAAAAATTTCCCGATTTTCCAAAAGTGATCCAGATCTTCCACAAATATTTCAGATATTCCATGTACACAAAAAATCTGAGATGTCGATCCCTTTGGAAAATATATACCAGGAACATGAACATTGGAGGACAGTCAAGATAGATTATCCGTGGGTGCCCGTGGCTCGCGAACCCAGAGCATGACATTCTCGGTACTCCGACAGACCACCTCCCGCCCCCTTTCCACTCGCAGTTCAGTACAGCGGCCCCACCAGCCCTGCGAGAGCGGCATTCGAGAGAATCCCTTTGCGATAGGGACCGGAAATTAAATGTAGGCGTCAGCGCCGGGAGGGCCGGGAGTGCAGGGCAAAGGCGGGGGGAGCAGGCGGGGCGGGGCAGCCCCGAAGGCTTTGTCCTCCGGACGCGCGACAACCCGCAGCAAAACGGTCGGCGCTGTCCGCCCTGGCACCCTGACCTCGGCCCTTCCAAAGGCTTAGCCGGGGGTTCCAGCTCCCAGCGGAAGGCATTTTGATAAACCTCTTCTTTGTTCTTCAGGCGGTGAGGGGGAAGGCGGAGCAGGCAGGCAGGGGGTGATTAAAACTTTTGTACCGTCACCAGCAGGCACAGTGAGCACACAGAAAACGCCATATACCGTGCGTGTGTTGCCAAACAACAACTCTTACGCTAAGTAAACGAAAAACGGAGGGGGGGGGGGGAATGTGCAAAAAGCACGACCAATTCACCGGTTCTGTTTCTCACCCTGTTTTTCTCCCCGGCGGCGCGACGGCAACCTTCTCTAGCATATCGGCACGGAGAGACGGGGTGTGTAGCGCCGCCTTTGCCGCGCGGAATAGACCCATTGCACGACCCCCCCCCCTCCCCTCTCCCCACAGGCCCGCGTGGGGCGCAGCGCCGACACGACTCTCCAGAGTTGAGTCGAAAACGGCTTGTGGTGCGCCGAGTGTAGCACAAAGCCACAGCCGGGCCCGCCGCAGCGAGCAGCGCGCGCTCGACGAACTTGGGGCGCGGAGGGTGAAGCGGGGGGCCGCGGCGGCGAAGGCATGCCGAGATCACTCGGGGGAAACGTAAACGTGACGGTGATGTGTGATAAAGTGACTGGAGAAGTGTATGATTAATTGGGGGCCATACGCCGACCATTTCTCTCTCTCTCTCTCTCTCTCTCTCTCTCTCTCTCTCTCTCTCCCTCTTTCTCTCTCTCTCTTTCTCTGTCCGCACTCCTTCGTCTTCTCGTCGACTCCATTTCTCTTCCTTCCCCTTAAAGTCCGACGGGAGGGGGTAAGTTGGAGGCGCCCGGGCTGCTGCGGATCAGTCTAAGGCCACAAGGGGCGAGAGGGGGGGGGGAGAGAGAAGGCCAAATTGATGAGCATGAAATAGCACAAGTGGACGTGTCCCCGGGCAAAGCCAGTGAGGGGAGTTTATAACGGTGCAGTCGAGCGCCTGCGAGGTAGGCAAGCCCGTCGAGCGCCCGCGCGCAGCCATTGCCTATCCGGCGGGCTGCGGGCGCTACCCACCCGGCACGCCGCCCCGTCGTCGTCTTCTGGCCGCGCCGGCCCCGCCCACCCCCACGAGTCGGCCCCGGAGATAGGCTGCACGGGGCAGAGGCCCAGCGGCTGCGCCGTCGCATCGAATGCAATAAGGTGCACCCCCTTGCCCCCCCTTTCCTCTCCTTATCTGATGAGGACCGCCCCTCGACTCCCGCCTCCTCGACCACCACCACCACCACCACCGACCCGAAGCCTGCTCCGCCGCTGCGCCACGTTGCGATCGGAAAAAGTTGGGGGGCAACAAAACTAACTACCATCCTACCATCAGTCCGGAGCGATCCCCGAGCAGCCGGCAGGCAGGGGTGGTGCAATATACCCGCACCGTCCTGTTTGTTGTTCTACTGAACGACGGAGAACGGGGGAAAAGTACCACATATTGGTTCGTTTATGCAGAGCTTTTTCAAAACTTTTGCAGATTTTTCCCCTCTCAACGATTTTCTCGTTTTGCATTTTGTTTTAAGTGGCAAATGCTACGCCGACCTGCGTTCGGTGGCGGGCCCAAGTGTGCTCTGTGTTTATTAACTCACTCGGTGCTTGACTACCCAGTTGCCCACGCCATTGCGGCCAAAGATACATTATGTATC